GCTCCCGGGCTAATCCACTGGCTCAAAATGGGACCAAACCCCTCTAAAAGCAGTAGCCCCCCTAGAACTGGCTGGGGTCCATTGGAAAGATTTTCAAAGGAAGCGAGGCTGCCAAGCCCGGAGACTGAGTCTGCCCAGGCGCTGGAGCGGCTGCCCTCGGTGCGGGCTGGCCTTCTGACAGCGCCGTGCTGGTCACGCTGTGCACAGAGACACTTTCTCCCCGCAGGTCCCATCGCGGCGTGGGGACCCTGGCAGGAGACCCTCCACCCTGTGACCTTTTACCTCCCGACGTGGGCATGGCCTTTGCCCTAAAGCCGAGAGCCGGCTGCCGCCTCCAGACGGTGCAGTCATGACTCAGGAAGAAGAGGAAGGTCTCCCTCCCCCTGCACCCCTCACTTCCCCATCCCCAGCCTGGCCCGGTCCCCAGACTCCCCACTTCCACCACAGCCCCTGCTTTCTGCGGCCAATGCCTTCCTGAGCCCCCCCCCACCCGTCTGTGACCTCCTGCCAGTCTGGGGACCTCCCCCCCCCCGGGGCCTCATCCTCCCAGACCCCGGCCTGGGGCCACCGGGCTCTGCTGGGGCGTCTGCATGTGGCTGCTGCCTGGCAGCCTACCAACTTTATCCAGAGTCAGAGAGGGGGCGCAAGGCCGCAGGAATCCCCCATGACTTCTCTTGAGAGGCTGGTGGGGGCCTACAGACCCAGAGACACTAAGAAGATCGCTTTGGTCAGTCAACCAGCTCCAGATACATGGCAAACGCTGCAGGGGACAGAAGGGCTTGAGGGGAAGGTAATGTCAGCCGTGATGGAGGTAGCAGCGATGTCATTCATGAAAGGGACAGACTGGGGGTCAGGGAAGCTAAGAAGACAGCTAAAAATCACGGTGACCACCCTCCAGAAGGACATGGTCCCGAGAGACCACCAGCCACCCCCGGAACGATGGAAGAAGAGATGGTCACCCCCTGAGCACAGGGAGCAGCCCAGAGCCGGGGGCCTCCACAGGGCCGGTTGATTTCATGGTGGACGCCAGAGCCCTCTTCTCAATTCTTCAACAAGCATGCGGTCCGTGCTCTAAATGCCCCACGGAAGTCCAGGGGTTAAGGGGATCTGGACGCTCTCTGTGGACTACAGGTGGTGCTGTGGCGCTAGGAAGAGCCACAGTGAGCCATTTGTACTTGATCGCTCCGCGGTGCCCAGCCGCGTTCCTTGGGAGGGATCTCCTGCCTACGCTGGAGGCTCAGAGTAAATGTCGGGCATCAGGTTCAGGTTCAACTAACTGAACCAGACCAAGAGCCAAAGCTTTTGGCCACAGATTCCCCCCCCCCCCCGGGGAATGAATATACCCTCCTAGCCCAGCATGTGAGCCATCTGACCAGCTCAACAAGAATCTCCTTTAGTATGAGATCCCGAGTCCAACCTCCAGACATGGAACAAAATAAAAATCCATATTGACCAACTATTAGAGGCTAAAATCTTGTGCCAGGTCAGTGGCCTTAAAATACGCCTTTGTTACCTGTAAAAAAATAACCTGGCTGAAATGATCTCAGACCCACACAGGACTTGATGGAGGTAAATAAGCAAGCAGAGGACTTCCACCTGACTGTCCCAAACCCAACACCATACCCAGCACGCTGCCCCCCAGCCCAACGCGCTGGCCCAGGGCTGGATTTAAAGGCTGCCTTCTTCTGCACCCCTAGGTCCGGTCTGTCAACCCGTCTTCCCTTTGGAGTGGGGTGCTGGGGACCCCCAGGTGTGGGTGGACAGCTCACTTGGACTCAGATACCCCAAGGCTTCAAAAGTTCTCCTGCCCTCCTTGATGATGCTCTTGGCTGGGGTCTCGGGGTTGTCCATACAACTGACCCAGAGGTAACGCTGACTCTGCCCCGGGGACCCAGGGAGGATCCAGCCACACACGCACTCGAGATCCCCGCCGCGTGGTCCCCCAGAGAGGTGCTTGAGATGCTCGAATAACCCTGCACGGGGCCATACTTCTCAAGCAGCCCAGGATCAAACCACAGCCCTTCACCTGCTGCCGTGGTGCCGTGCTCAGACAGAAGCCTTTCATCCAAGCAACCGCAGGTAGGAGAGCTGGCCGGGAGGGCTGCAGGGTCACCGTGGAAGGGACCCGTGTTCTGGCCCTCATGCCTGGACCCGCGCTGCCTGAAACACTGAGGGACTCACCAGAAGACCTGGAGGGCGTGAAGAACACACGGACCCCAAGTGATAAGGAGACGCCGATCCACCAGCGCAGCACGCGACCAACCGGACGTCTCTACAAACGGCTCTTTATTCCACGGTGGACCGGCTTGCCCAGGCCTGGGCGGCTCGCTGTGTGGCACACCAATGCACTAAGCCATCCTGTGCTGATGGGAGCCAGAGAGAGAGGAGCAGAGCCAGGCGCTGGGCAGTAGGCTTTCCCGAGGTTAAACCAGGCCGGTGTGGGTGCACGTGCTTGTTGGGTTTTGTGGACACATCGTCAGGATGGGCGGAAGGTTTCCCGACAAAGACAGAAACGGTGATGGCAGTGGCCAAGAAACTCCTAGAAGAACTAAAGCCTAGGTTCGGCTTACCCCTGGTTGTAGGCCAGATAATGATCCGCCCCCAGAGCCCAGGACAGGGGGGAAGAATGAATCAGAGACCGGGGAAGGTGGACGGGCCTCTCCCTTCGCCCTGCTTAGGGCTGGATTCATCCTTATGAACAGAGCATCACCTCTCCTGAGGTTTTGTTGGGGAGGCCGCCTCCACCACTTCCCCATCTGTGTATGGAGTTGGTAACGGAACTTTAGACAGTAACATCCCTCGATCTTAACAGGTGCCGAGCCATCACAGGAAGTCCTTAAACTTTCCTTTAGGGCTGCATGTGAACCATTCCTTCCCCCATACCACCAGTTCAGAAGGAAAAAGGAAAGAAGAAAGGAAGGAAGGAAGGAAGGAAGGAAGGAAGGAAGGAAGGAAGGAAGGAAGGAAGGAAGGAAGGAAGGCAATCTAGTAAAATCAGGTCCGTGTAAGAGGGATCTTGGAAGCAACCCAAAATTTATAACCCAAAGAACTCATGTTTGGTTCTTATTTCTCTTCCCTGTATCTTGTTGAGTCAGTAACCATCAGTGACCGTGTGAGAAAAGCCAATGCGAAAGACTTAACAGATTTCACCTCTTCTAGAAAGGGTGAAAGAAGTTCCGGTCTTAAGGCTTGAACTCGGGGCCTGGGCGCTGTCCCTGAGCTGCTTTTTTCTCAATTCCAGTGAACACCCACTTCAGCCACAGTGCTGAAAGTGGTTTATTGGAGGTAGGAGTCTCACAGACTTTCCTGCCCGGGGTGGCTTCGAACCATGGCCCTCAGATCTCAGGCTCCTGAGTAGCTGGATGACAGAGGTGAGCTACCAGTGCCTGGCTGGGAGCTGCAGCTTTAAAACAAATGTAATTTTGCCAAAGAATGTGTGATTACTGAGAGACCAGAAGTACTAATAGGTGAGCTATGAAGTTGCTTGACTTGGAAAAAAAGAAGCAATAGTTATCAGAGCTGTTATTATGTCTAAGAGCTTAGTGCCGTCTATCTGCCTGACATTTGCTTACATCGACTTATCTACACATCTTTTATTCAACTTACTCTAAGTAGATGTTTTCCTCTTAATGAAAAGTGTAGTCATAGAGAGAAAGTGTACCTTGGTGGTTCTTTTATGAAGTTGGTAGTCTTCAGAAACAATTTCCAGGATCTTTGTGTTTTCATAAATGTTTGAGGGTCCACCCTCAAATTGGATACCAGTTCCAACAGGGAAGTTCTCACACACTGCAGATTCTACCTTCCCAGCAGCCTCTCTGCGTTTACTAAACCACGCTGTGTGGCTGTGGTTTCCTGAGGTTACTGTACTGAGTTCCAATCACCACCCATCTAATGAAATGAAGCCAGAATTCAGGGACACCAGGGTCAGGCCTGTAACCTTAGCTGCTCAGCACACTGAGATCCCTACAGCAGAGGACTGCATGCAAAAACGTGGTGTCCCTACACACTGGAACGTTCCACAAGCATCAGAAAGAATGGCATTATGTCGTTTGCAAGGAAATGGATGGAGCTAGAACAAATCACGTAAGTAAGGTCAGCGGGCTCAGATGGCACCTGTATTCTCTCCTATGTGGAAGCTAGATCAGAAATAAGCCGGTACCTGACCAGGACCTGACCACTGAGACATCGCACACAGAGAGCATGGGGGCTCTTAAGAGAGAATCCCAAAGACACTTGTAAGCCTTCAGCGTCATGACCGTCAAAGCTGTTCGGTACAAGGAATACTAAAAAGACCCAAGAGGAACCCGAGGCACGGCTTACGTGGTAGAATGCCAACTGTGAAGAACAGAGCTGAAAGGAGCACTAGGGTCCGAGTCAAGTGCAGTGACTCACACCTGTCATCCCAGCCTCCCAGGAGGCTGAGATCTGAGGATCACAGTTGGAGGCCAGCCTGGACAGGAAAGTCCCTGAGACTCTGACCTCCAGTGAACCACCTCAGATCAGAAGTGGAGCTGTGGCTCAACGTGGCAGAGCGCCAGCCATGAGTGACAGAGATCAGGGACAGCGCCCAGGCCCTGAGTTCATGATCCACGGCCAACAACAATAAATACAGCGGAATCCAATTCTAGATTTCAGAAGACACACTGTCCTGAGGCTGAACAGAAGATGCACTGCTGTTCGAGGTTCAGCCATGACTGACGAGCTTTGGTATGTGCGGGTCCTGGGGCTTGAACTCAGGGCCTCGCTCCTGAGCTCCTGTTTGCTGGTTCACTGGACATCAGATCCTCACCACCTGTCCTACAGGGACTGACCTGGAACTTCACCCTCACATCTCAGCCTCCTGAGTCGCTGGGATTACAGGAGAGAGCCACTGGTGCCTGGCAAGGAGTTAGCTTCTTACCCTCAGCAGATGAGGAGCAAGATAAAGACCAAAAGATCCAAATGTGCAGAGAGGCAGAAATCTGGTCACCATATTTTTATTCCATTTGTGTGATCCAGGAGACACACGCTGACATCTAGATCCTTCCCAGTGCAGGACAGCATCTCAAGACAAGGACTTTATTACCAAGTACAGCCTTTCATCGTGAACTTTAACCTAGCACACTTTCTACCCGCACTGGACCAGCCATTTTCTCACACATTGCATATCTGGATGCCAAACAACTATCATACAAAATGCGCTTGTCTTCTGTCATAAATGCACAATACATTCCATTGAAGGCACTGGGCTTGTTTTTCAACCTGAAGAGGAAAAGCAGGAAAGTACTTAAGAGCTCACATATTTGAAGTAGACACACACATGACCTGTGCTACCTGACAGTATGGCGCCCACAGTCAGCATTTCCTAAGGAAAATAAGATCCTTGGCTGTGCAGGGGATTTCCCTTCAGCCTGTCAGGCTCTGACGCCATGCATGTGGATCATCTCACCCCTCATCCTTCCCCCCATGTCCTCCCCACCCCAACTCTCATGGTCTCTGTTTCCATTTTCACAGATGGACGTTGACTCTTAGGATGGCGCCGTCCTGAGCTTCTGTGTTACTCAGGGAACTGAGACCTGAGGACCTGGGTTCAAAGTCACCCAGCAGGAGAGGCCATGAGACTTTCACATCTAATGAAATCAAGCCAAGAAGTCAGACGTGGCGCTGTGGCTCCCGTGGTGGAGCGCTAGCCTGGAGATAAAAAGGCTAGGACAGCACCAGGCCCTGCGGCCAAGCCCCGAGAAAGCCAGAGAAAGAAAAGAAAGTCGGCATGATGAAGACAAAATCAGGGCGTCTGTGATTGCTATGTGTGCATTTGTACTGGGTGTTGAAGTTGGGGCCTGGACACTAGAGCAGGACTTTTGCTAAAGGCTAGAGCTCTACCACTTGAGCCTCGGCTCCACTTGTAGCATTTTTGTGGTAGTTAATTGAGATAAATGTCTCATGGACTTTTATGTCAGAGCTGGCTTTGAATCAAAATCCTCAGATCTCAGCTTCCTGAGTAGCTGGGATTACAGGTGTGACCACCAGCCCCTGGCTATGGGAACATTTTATGCATGATTAAATCTATTACAGAGGCCTGACACAGCAGGTGTGTTTATGGGTATGTCACCAGTCTACAATCGTCCTGAGGAAAACATAGTTTAAAAAATGGACTTAAAACAATAAGAGAAAAAATAGAGACTTACCAAATAGAAGAAGCAACACTCTGATCCACTGTCATAGTGTTTGTGCTATTTTTTCTAGGAGATGCTCCAATCCAATAGCCAAATAATTGCCAGGATTTTACAAACTCCTAATAAACAAAGATACTCTTTGTACAAAGTTTTCTCTGGCTGGTACCAATGACTCACACCAGTAATTCTAGCTCCTCTGGAGTCTGAGATCTGAGCATCTCGATTCACAGCTAGCCAGGGTGGGAAATCCATGAGACTCTTATCTCCAGGGAACCAAGAAAAACCACCAACAAGACAGAAGTGGAGCTGTGGCTCAAGCTGCGGAGTGTGATCATGGAGGGAAAAAGCTCAGGACCGTGCCCAGGCTCTGAGTTCAAGACCTAGGACTGGTACAGAAAATAATTACTTCTGTACATATTTCTGCTCTTCAAACTGTTTTCAAACAGTATTTTCAAAATTGCTTAATGTGTGCTAGTGTGTGTTTGTGTGTGTATGTGCGCACACAAGCACACGCGTGTGCCTTCAACTGGTACTCAAGGCCCTGGGTTCAATGACCAGATCTGGCATGAAAACAAGAAAAAGAAAAAGAAAAAAGAAAAGAAGCAAGGAAGGAAAAAGGAAAGAAAGAACGAAGGAAAGAAAATATAGGACATCAAAGCAATGTACTGGAGTGAGAACAGGTCATTTTGTAAGCCATAGATCTCATATTTTGTCCTTATTTCTCACTGAACTATATTTTGTGGAGTCAGTAACTGTCAGTGAAGCAGGTGAGCAAGATCCAATGACAAAGACACAACACATGATTTCCCTTCTTCTAGAAAGGATGAAAGAACTTTTCACTCCTGGGTCTTGAACTCAGGGTCTGGGCGCCGACCCTGAGCTTCTTTTTTTCAAGGCTGGTGCTCTACCACGTGAGCCACAGCTCCATCTCCAGTTTTCTGGTGGTTCATTGGGAATCAGAGTCTCATGGACTTTCTGCACAGGATGCTCTGAATCTCAGTCCTTGGATCTCAGCCTCCTGGGTAGATGGATGACAGGCGGGAGCCACAGCGCTTAGCAGACTCTTCTTACTCTGTCATTGGAAATGCGATTTCCTTTCTTATGGGAGGAGAAACTGGGAGACGTACCAGTGCATCCTTGTTGTTAATCTTCAGCAGGCTGGCATTGCGGTCAGCACATGACTTTTCGCTGTTTTGCCACGTGGTATAAATATGATATGGAAGATAACATCTATTTTTATGCCATATCCAATCCTGTGGACAAGGTTTACATTTGTGCCCTGGAAGGAAAGCGTCCTTTTATTGAATAGATCTTCAGCCTCTTGCTATTTCCTGTCATCTCTATGGTACATTGACCAAGTTTACTGTGTTTTCTTCAGGTCATTATTTTATCTTATTTTGTGCAGTTCTGGGGCTTGAACTTGGGATCTCCTGCTTCTTCTTAGCTTTTCCACTCCAGGCTGATCCTCTACCATTGGAGCCTCAACTCCACTTCTGGCTTTTTGCTGGTAAACTGGAGAGAAGAGTTTCACAGGCTTTCCTGCATGGGTTGGTTTTGAACCAGGATCCTCAGAACTCAATCTCTTCAGTAGCCAGGATGACAGGCGTGAGCCACCAGTGCCCGGCTATTACTGACTGCAATTTTGAAGTGAGGCCATCTATAGAGAAGTGTGTTTTCCTATCTATCATTTACTGGGCTTCATAATCAATTGGGATTTTGCCTAGCTTTGAAAATAACAATTAAAACATGTAAAAGGTAAATTCAGATGAGAGAAATTGTATATTTATACTTTAGTAAAACTGGAGTTTAAAGAAAATAGATTGAGTCTGAATGCTCTTGTATAACCAGGACACCTGGGGGATTCCATGTTGTGTCGTTATGATTTTCTGATTTTCTTCTAACTATGTGGAACTGTCGATGCACGGACTATGCTTCATTCCTTCCTTACTCAGTGGTTCTAGCTGGGCAGGAAAATCCATGAGACTCGTGTCCTATATTATAAAGCCAAAGCCAGACCTGGTGCTGTGGCTCAACTGATTAAGCTCCATGCAGCCAAGAGCAAAAAAGCTAAGGGACACAGCCCAGGCCCTGAGAATAAACCCCAGCACCAACCCTCCCCCAACGCCTCCCCTCCACAGACAGACAGACAGACAGACACACACACACACACACACATGTACACATACACACACACACACGCACACATACATGCACACACACACACACACATACAAACATGCACACACGCTACAGCTTTACTTCATAAGCAGCCCTCAGGATATTATAGAATTACCTGGCTCCTTTTCCTGTAGCTCCTGACAAAGCCTGGTGGCCAGTGTTTGCAATGCCATAGAGAGGTTCTGGATCTTCTCATTGAGGTTCTGGATCTTCTCATTGAGGTTCTGGATCGTCTCAGAACTGTTGACATTCCCCATTTGTTGTAGGCACACATTTCTCTGAAGTTCTCCTTGGCCATATTGCTGTTTATAAACTCAAATCCACACAGAGAGAAAGAGAATTTAAAAAGACGCATGAAAACTTTCACTATCATGGTATTAAGAGTTATTTTGTACAAGGAATCCAAAAAAAACCCAAGGGGACAGGAAGCGTGGCTCACGTGGTAGAACGCCAACAGTGAGACCAACAGCTGGGCAGGAGCACTAGGCTCTGAGCCAGGGGACAGCGGCTCCGGCCTGTCATCCCAGCCGCTCAGGATGCTGAGATCTGAGGATCACAGTTGGAAGCCAGCCTGGGAAGGAAAGTCCCTGAGACCCTCATCTCCAACAAACAGCAAAAAGTCAGAAGTGGAGCTGTGGCTCAAGCGGTAGAGCACCAGTCTTGAGTGGGAAGCTCAGGGACAGCGCCCAGGTCCTGAGTTCAAGCCCCAGACCCAGTAGCATAGCCAAAAGGGTGATACATACTCATGATCCACAAGATTCTCAGTCCAATGAAGAGCAGGAGGAGGAGGAGGAGAGTCGCACGCAAAGCTGTTCTAACCCACACGTGGGAAGGAGGAGCCCGATTCGCTGTGGAACACAAAAGCAACAACGTTCTCAAAACGGCGTTCCCTTCCACTCATCCGTACAAGGCCATTCATTCCTCCATTTCCCCTTTCATTTTTTCATGCTATGCAACCTGTAAAAGAATTTCATGTGTTACCCACTCTGAGACACGAAAAACAAATCCCTGGCCAATCGACATTGTGCTCATAACATGACCTGGTGAATTGAAACCCTTTGTATAGCTACTGAAAGATTCACGAGTAAAGAAAGCAGCCAGGACTTAGCTGTTCACACCTTTAATTCCAGCCATTCAGGAGGCTGAGAACTGAGGATCATGGTTCAAAGCCAGCCTGGGCAGGAAATACCATGAGCCTCTTATCTCCAATGAACCACCAGAAATAACCAGCAGTGGCGCTGTGGCTCACGCGGCAGAGCGCCAGCCTTGAGCTCCGAGCTCATGGACGGCGCCCAGGCCCTGAGTTCAATACTGAGCCTGACCACAAAGAATGAGGAAGGAAACAAAAGCACCGGAAGCCTGGCGCTCACGCTTCTGTTTCGCTTTGTTGCTTGGCTGGTTTTGTGCCAGAGCTCGGGCTTGAACTCCAGACCCGGTGCCGTCCCCAACAGTTCTGTGTTTAGCGCTGGTCTTCTCCCTTGGAGTCTCAGCTCTACCTGCAGCCTTTGGGTGGTTCACTGGACATGAGTCTCCCAGACTTTGCTGCCCTAAGTTAGCTGAGAACCATGATCCTCAGATCTCAGCCTCCTGAGTCACTAAATTACAGGCGTGAGCCACTGTCACCCGGTGAACTTTTCTTCTATTTTCAAGTTCTGGGTCTTGAACTCAGGGCGTGGGCACTGTCTGTCCCAGAACTTCTTTTACTCAAGGCTAGAGCTCTACCACTTGAGCCACAGCACCACTTCTGGCTTTTTCTATTGATGAGTTACTGAGGAATTGAACCCAGGGCCTCATGCATGCTAGGTGAGCACTCTACCCCTGAGCCACCTGCCCAGCCCAAGATGACTTATTCTTAAATCATTACATGATATGAGCTCTCATCCATGTAGATCTATAAAGGTTATTTCAAATAAATGTCTTCTAGTTTAAAACATGACAGTCTAACCCCAGGACTGAAACAGAGGAGCTCCACCTCATACCACAGCTGATGCTGAAATGAGTATAACTAGAGAGAATTGAACAATAAACACAGGACCTTAAATATCTTCAGATGGAAGAAAATGACCTTCTCTGAAGAGAACAGGGTCAAGATTTTAGCTTATGTTGAAATTAGAGATGCAGGAGTTGCTTTAGGCCAGGCACTGGTAGCTGATGCCGGTCATCAGCCACTCGGGAGGCTGAGATCTGAGGATCGAGATACAGAGCCAGCCGGACAGGAAGGTTCATGAGACTTGGTATTTCCAACGAACCAGCAAAATGGTGGAAATGGAGCTGTGGATCCAGTGGTAGAGCACCAGCCTCGAGCAAATCTGAAGCGAGAGTTCTAGTGTTTGCGTACAAGCCCCGGTACTGACATGCATAAGGGTAACATGAATCAGCGCTGCACAGAACACTGCAGGGGCTAAAATGTCACACCTCTCTGCGTCTCTTTGTCCCTGTCTCTCTGTCTCTGTCCCTCTGTCTGTCTGCCTCTGAGACCCTCTTTCCATCTCTCTTTGGATGTCTCTGTCTGTATGTCCCTCTGTCTCTCCTTCTCTGTTCCTGTCTATACTGTCTGTCTTTTTCTGTCTCTGTGTCTCTCTCTGCCTCAGTTTCTGTCTCTCTGTCCATCTTTGTCTGTATCTCTGCCTCTCTCTCTTGTTTCCAGAATCCCTCTTGTTTCTCCCTTACACAAATAAAATGAAAAGTAAAAGAACAAAATACATTGAAGGATGGCTTTCCTGGACAAACTACCATGTTTGCCACAGAAATGAAACACTTCGTATAATTTCAAAACTCTACCGTGTATCTTGATTGTAATATTCAGAAGTAGAACATTAATAAATGGTGGATCATTGTGCAATTTCACAAAGCCAGGGCTTACAAAAAACATTAGGAGCATTTGGGGGGGGGTCATTGGTGATTGGAATTGAATACTAACTTATCCAGTCCGTGTGTCCCAAGATGTAAGTCTCGTTTTCACTACCCACCTCGCCACACGCTCAGGTTCAACAGGCTTACCTTTTGTCTCCATGTTGTCAAACTCCGGGATCTTCTCTCTCTTTCCTGAGTCATGGAAGATTAGACTGGCAGAAGTGACATGGAGGAATGTGGAAAGCAGGTGGAATGAAATGTTGTTGTTGAGTGAAGAGAGAGCTGAGCGTTGAACGCTGGACAGAATGTGGAAGTGGACACTTGGTGATCACTAGCAGAAGTCTCACTTCACCAGCCTGAATGTTGCTAAACAGCCAAGCTGATAAACTGCTCATCGGGGATCTCCCGCAGGACTGCGTGACTGTGTCCTAGGAAACATTTCTCTTCACCAGCCTCTCTTCCTCTTTCTTATCACTTTATATGACAATTGCAGAATCTAGGTTTTTTTTTTTTTTACTGGGGTTTGAATTCAAGGCCACCCACTCTTGCTCCACATTCTGGATCAAGGCTGCTTTTCTACTGGATTTGAGTCAGGACTCCAGTCCAGCCTTTGGCTGGTTAGCTAGAGGTGGAGTTTGGAGAACTTCTCTGCCTTGGTTTGCTTTGAATGGGGACCCTCCACGTTTCAGCCTTCTGCAGAGGTAGGATCGCAGGCTTGAACCACCAGCTCACAAATTAGTGCCTGGTGCTGCTGGTGGTGGTGTTTTATTGGGGTGTGTGTATGTGTTTCCTAGGAATTGCAGCCTAGGAGGCCGACCCTGAGCCTTTGTGTGCAAGGCTAGACCTCCACCATTTGGCCCCAGCTCCACTTCTAGCTGCTTGGGAGTTAATGGAGGACTTACCTGCTATAACATAAGGTCCACCCTGGATTTGGAAAATATCTTCCTCCTGCCCCTGTGTGTGTGTGTGCATGCACACATGTGTGTGTGTGTGCGTGTGTGTGCATGTGTGTGCATGTGTGTGCGTGTGTGCATGTGTGTGGTGTGTGTGCGTGTGTGTGTGCATGTGTGTGTGCGTGTGCATGTGTGTGGTGTGTGTGTGGTGTGTGCGTGTGTGCGTGTGCTTGTGTGTGTGGTGTGTGGTGTGTGTGCACGCATGTGTGCGTGTGTGTGTACGTGTGCATGTGTGTGTGCGTGTGTGTGTGTGCGCTGGTCCTGGGTTTGATCTCAGGGCCTTGCTCTCTCAGTTGATCCTTGTACTCAAGGCTGGAGCTGTACCACGTGAGCCACACCTTAGTTCAAGAAGTATCCCACTTTAAATTTATTTTCCAATTATTCATTCCTGATACAGAAATGTGGTAGATTTCTCATTTGCTTTTAAAATATTTTAAATTATCATTATAAGGTGATGTATAGAGGGGTTAAAATTACGTAAGCCAGGTAATGATTACATGTTTTGGACAATGTCTCCCCTCATTTTGTTGTTGTTGTTCTTGTTTCGGGGCTTCATTTCAAGACCTAACACTGTTCCAGAGTCCTTTTGTTCAAGGTAAGCTCTCTACCATTAAGATCTCTAATAAAAAAAAACAGATTGTTGAGTGAAAAGACTGATAAAATTAATAATCATGGCTGGGAATGTGGTTTAGAGATAGAGTGCTTGCCTAGGATTCATGAAGTGCTAGATTTGATTCCTCTACCACATAAATAGAAAAAGTCAGAAGTGATGATGTGGCTCAAGTGATAGAGAACTAGCCTTGAGCACATAGAGGCTCAGAGTTAGATCTCAGGCCCTGAGTTCAAGCCCCAGAACCCCCCCCCCCAAAAAAAAAGAATGTAGAGAGTCTGGAGGAAGATGGTGGAGGAGAAGCTACTGGCTAAACAAGCTCTCATATAGGAAATAGTTTCAGTGTTCCAGTGTAAAATCCAAGGCTGGAGAGTGACACCAAGTATGACAGTATAGTACAGAGAGTCTGGCCAGAGAGGAAAAATTCAGGCAGCTTGGTGAAAGAGACCAATTTGAGCACTCATAGGTGTCCATGGTGTTGGCGGCACCTGTGGCCACCATATCGACAGAGCTCAGATAAAAGGCACCAGAGGCCGTGTTTGAGCAGATTCTACTCACTGCCAGCCCAGCAAGAACTGCCAAGGAACAGAAATTTTCATCCTGCTGAGCACAAACAGTCCCAGACCGTGGACATCTGGAAACCACAGGAAAGGCATGAGTACATCCTCACTCCTCATGGAGCAGCGGTGGGAAGGTAGCCCCTCCCCCACCACTGGAGAAGAACTCCATTTTTGATAAAGACCTGGCCAGAGCAGCTAGCACATACCTCAGGCCTTGGAAGAAGAAAACAGGAGCCATTCAATAGGTCAAAGGAATCAGACCTGCAGGGCTGAGCTCCACCAATGGGAAAGATGCCCTTCCCAGGCACAGGAACTTCTGCCCATGGAGAAGTGACTTTTGTTCACTGGGTAAACAGAGTCAGAGGCTGCCCCTCCCCTCTGCAGCACAGGCAGCAGACACAGTTGCAGGAAAGGTAAAAGAAAACCAATTGCAACTCATTAAATATAAATCCCGAGAATGACTCCAGGCTGGGCTTCTTGAGTGTCTCAGGAGCTAGCCCCTCAGAGAACAGCTACTGAGTACAGACAAGCCTTAACCCTACCCACAACCTAGCCCATAACAACAACTCCAAGCTATAGAAAGCAGCGATCTCCCTCTTTTGTGATATCCAAAGTAGATCTCTCTCCCAATGAACTAAACTGGGAGGAAGGTAATAAAGTCCCTGGTAAGACAGAGCTTTGTTCTTCCTACTTAAACAAATTGATTTAAGAAACTAATGAAGCCACAGGAAAAGCAAACACCAGAAGCAAACCAGAGATTCCATAAGACACTGGTTATGGACAGAGCAGACACACAAGATTTCCTGCCCTCCCACCAAAAAAAAAAATCAAACTCTTTTTTCCTGCCTTATTTTTAAAATAAAATTTCTTTTTTTTTCATCATTTTTATTTTAGGTGTGTGTTTTTCTTAATTCTGTTTTTACTCTTTTCTCTTCATGTCTTTTCTGGTTTTTTTGTCCTTACTTAGTGTTGTTTTGTTCATTCCAGATATATACCTGTCTGCAATGATTAGATCTTAATCTTCATTGTAGGCATACTTAATTCAGATATCAATTACTCAGTTCACAAACTTTTTTTTTTTTTTGCCAGTCATGGGGCCTGAACTCTGAGCCTGGGCGTTGTCCCTCAGCTCTTCAGCTCAAGGCTAGTGCTCTACCACTGGAGCCACAGCGCCACTTCCGGCTTTTTCTGTTTATGTGGTGTTGAAGAATCGAACCCAGGGCCTCATGCTTGCAAGACATGCAAGACATGCTGAGCTACCTTCCCAGCCCCAGTTCACAAACTTTTATCCTTACTCCTTTAATTGTAGTATTATTTCTTTATACTTATATAATTTCAAGTGTTTCATTTAAAAATTTTATTTTTCATTTTATCTTTTTTCTTTATCTCTCTTCTCCTTTCCTTCTATTCTTTTCCTCTCTCTGAATTTAAGCCTTGGTTGTATACCCTTTCTCCCTTTCCCTCCACACATTCCTCTAATCTTATTTTCTCCTCACAATTCTCCCTAAATCTATTAAGGTCTGCTCTTCTGTTTCCTTCTTTGATTTTCTTAGTCCATTGATCCATAGTTGTTTATTATCGAACTAGATTTTATCTGTTGAACTAGATTCTATCTGTACTCATTTTGACTGTATCAAAAAATCTGTGCAAATACAGGGCTCTGGTTGATGCTTGCCTTCAAATAGGGTTCTAACTTGGAATTGGTTTTGCCTTCATACCCAAATGGGCAGAACAAGCCAGAGAAACACAAGAAAAATGGCAAGTCCTGGTATCTCAACTCCTACTCATGATAAACAGGCAATCATGGAATCCACAAGAAGAAGGCTGGAGGAATCCATGGAGGACACAAATGGAATGCTGAATGAAGCCCAAGTGAAGGAAAGGGAGTCCAATGAAACTGTAACCAGTCAATTAAGGGATTTGAGAATAAACAATGAAAACCAAAATAAGGAGGTAAAGAAGTCCATACAAAAGTTAAAACAAAGCTCCAACAAAGAATTTTAAACTATCAAATATGACCAATTAGAAGGAAAGAAAAAAAAGTAGAAAGTCTTGACAGGATGTTAAACCATGGAGAAGATCAAATCTCTGGGATTGAAGACAACTTAGACATTATAGAGAAAGAACAGACAAGTCTTCAAGACACGCCCAAGAAATATGTTATATCTATTCAATTTTTAGAAATACCATCAAAAGGCCTAATTTAAGGCTAATAGGTATAGAGGAGGGCCTAGAGATAGATGTTAAAGGTCTAGGATTTTTATTTAACAGGATCCTAGCAGAGAACTTCCCAAACTTGCAAAAAGATAGGCCCCTTCATATATAAGAAGCATTTAGAGCCCCAAATAGACCAGACCAGAACAATACATCTCACTGTCAAATTGTAATCCACACAGGATCGATCAGTTCAGACCAAGTAAAAGATACTTAAAGCTGTCAAGGAGAAAAAAAATCAATCACTTACAAAGGAAAACCAACCAGATTAATTAATTTCAATTTCTCAGCAGTGACAATGACAGCAAGAAGAGCCTGGAATATGTATGCCACATCCTAAAGACAAACAACTATCAACCAAAAATACTGTACCCAGCTAAACTATCTTTCATAATGGAAGGACAAATACAAGCCTTCCACAGCAAAGAAAATTTGAAACACTATATCTCCACCAAACAAGCCCCACAAAAGATACTTACAGATGTCCTACACATAGAAAACCAAGAATAGCATGATAAAGGCCAAGAAACAGCCCTAAATAGAGAATGCAAGAATCATACTTAGAACCCAGTTGGCACAGCCCCCAGGAAGGTGGAGCTACCAACTACCTCTCGGTCCTCAGTGTCAGTGTTAATGGACTTCACTCTCCAATTAAGCTTCATAGATTGCCTAGTTGAATCAAAAAGCAAGCTCCTTCTCTATTGTGCCATCAAGAGACACACCTTGTGCTGGGCGCCAGTGGCTCACACATGTCATCCTAACAACTAAGGAGGCTGAGATCTGAGGATCACGGTTCAATTCAGCCCAGGCAGGAAATTCCATG